AGTATAACAAATTTATCCAACATTAATGTGATTGTAAAACAAACAGTAAGGAAAATTGTCAGGTGGCAACGAGATCTATGCCTTCGGCGTGGTCCTTTTAAGCCTCTGACACATGACTTAAGCATCGAAATTGTCAAGCTGGGCCATCAAAATCTACCTTACTCCTATTAATAAAGACTTACGTAAAACCATCTTCATGGTCGCCTGTGACATCCCCAATGACCGGAGTGATAGCCAGTTGAGTGGCAGCCAGAAGAGAAAGAAGGAAAGTCAGTGCTTGCATTGTCTTCCTCGTCTGTGTGTCCTCACGAGTGAAGGGCCGGTTGCCTGTCCACCATTTATATCCACTGGTGCGTGCATCAAGGTTGCGTCTTGCCCAATGCAAAGAGCACATGCATTTTTTTGTCGTCCTAATTCCCACCTACACCCAAATCAAGTGGTACAGCGGTGGATGGAATTTGGTCTGATACTTTTTGTTGAGTGGTGTGTTTGTTTGACACTCTACCCAACTGTGAGAGTGATTTTACGAGGTGGTGTGGGCGAGCACCTTCATTTGGTGGGTTTGGTGGTCAAAAACAGAGCATTTTGACAGAGATGGGAACAACTCGTCTGTATTGCTAAAAGGGCTTCGAAAGTTGCTGATGTCGTGAAATCGCCATGTTGTGAATAAATTGGGAGTTATAGTTTCTCATTTTGATGTCAATTCCTTATTTTTCATGTCATCTATTCACTTAGAAAGCAGTAAAGAAGTAGATTTTGGTATCGACTTAAAGTGGTTACATTTGTTCAGACTTGAACATTTCGGAAATTGTTACATTATTGTAGGACTTTGTACACACCACGCTATACCGATTCGGCGTTCGTTGTTCCTCTGATTATATCCACCGAATATCGTCGGCACACCTTTTGCACCCATTTTCAGCGGGCTGAAAACGCCTTTAAAAAAAAGGCACACCCTGAACCTGATCACATCAAAAAGGAGAGAGAGAGCTTGGAGAGGTTTTATGTCTAACTTATAAGGCCTTGTTTGCTCTGCTAGACCCTTCTGCGCATATGGGATGTGTTTCTTTTGGAGGGTGAAAAGGTCCTCTTTCGCATAGCCATTGCACTTCTCATCCAACAACAGGACGTCCTCCTACGACAAACCGACACTCTGGCCTTTTGGAAGAGCATGAAGGTGGCTGTGGGCCTTGTCTATGATCACGAGAAGCTTCTCAGTGTAAGTTTGCGCAAAGGACCGTAGATTGCTATGTCTGCACAACTAAACTGACAATAATACTGTTGCTTTA